TTATTTCCTATTGATTGTGTGTTCTAATCTTTTCAGTTTTCATTATTTTTAGTATATTGTAAACTCATTCATTTAGTAAGACTTAAAGATTTAATAGATAAATCCGATACTGTAATGTTGGAAGATCCGAATAATCATATTGCAGATAAATTATAATTATATATAGTCACAAAAAATAGGTATAGATCACACATTTTTTTACTTCCCCGACTAATTATTATTATGTTAAAATCGCAAAAAAAGTTTTTATCAATATTGTAAGAAGAAAATATTAAAATTCGGAAAAAGACCCTTGTTATAAATAATTACATTTACAAATAATTACAATTAATCTAATCTAATGAATTAGATTCTTAGCTTTTAATAGTATTTCAAATACTATTCCAGATCAACTTTTACATATTAACTTTGCCAATTTAATGTTAATCTGTTCTTGGAAATATATTTGAGGGGATATGCGCAATAACAACACTCATATTTTTTGATCGCCAATAATTTAACATAATGGTAATACACTTGTAAAATAGTAGCGTTTACATTTTATTGTGTGTAAAGAAAATAATTGAAATATACTGAGGAAGATCCGAACTGAGGGTTGAAACGTACATATATTTTGTCTAACATATGTTTGCATAGAATTAATTAGAATTATTTATACACTTTCATTCTGTGTTGGTTTTTGAAAAATAAATTTATAATTTATTAATTTTAAATTTATGTAGAAATTTTGAAAAATTATATGAAGAATTTTAAGAAAAATTTTCGCCAAAATGTATCTAAATCAAGAATAAATTTATAATATTAATAGATTGTACCTGCTTTCCATTCACATAAAAGACAAGAGTGCTTGATGGTACTTCTTGTAGTTCATTGCTATTTAAATCTTCATGAAATTCGTTATGATTTATATTTCCATTGTACATATACAGTTTTTCCGTACAGTTTTTTTCCATTTCCAACTGACTCTGTTACACTCCTTTAATTCGCTGTAATATACACTTGCATCAAGATCTACAGCACTAGATATAGATATTCATTACACAAATATATTGCAACGTAAGGTGTTACTATGAAATAAAAATGTCGCGATTTGAATAATATTTAACAATTTTGCTTTATCATTTTGCAATCATGATGTAATCTTCATAGTATTGAACGCTATCAAGGCAAGTCTTTTTTAATTTGCAAGATTATATCATTAACCACAAATACTATACTCGATGACAATTAAACACATGTATCACGTATTATTTTTACTCACAATAATTCTGCTCTTTTTCAATCAATTATGACATTTATAAACTCATTTATATTCGCAAAGATGTATGATAGACAACAACTCAGTTTCGTTACTAACAGCAACTTCCCCCACGTTAAAGCCAGATTATAGTTAATTATAACTGATTAAGCTGATGACTCAAAGACTTATCGTGCGCTCAACATATGTTGTATATATATAATATATACTGTATATACATTCGATATATATAATATTTCGTAAAATGCTTATCACAGTTTTCATTTACGAAATATGTGGAATTTATCAAAAAACCAATATTAAACTTTTATCGGTAATATAATTAAGTCACTTATAAAAATCACAAACAAAAAACACGATTAGTTTTGATAGAATTTTTTGTTCTATCGATTTTTTTATGGCATTATAGATATATATAAATAATATATATATATAATATATAAATAATATATATACATCAACATATATATATATATATATATAAAATATATATTTATATATATCCAGAATATGACTATCTTACTCCACCAATAACGGTGTACATATGTATATCATGAGCGAGATAGCTAAGCGTAACGTAATAAATTGATAATTCGTCGGAAGTATATCGTTACTATACTACTAATTTGTATGTACCTCACAGAAACATTATACTGAAAGTTCATAATTAATTAATTAGTTTTATTATTATAAAGACTAAATAATATGGTTTGTAATCCTTTTTAGGGTACCAAATTTTTTTAATTTTTATTCGAAATG